TCATCCTGGAACACCCCAATTTTTGTAATAAAAAAGGCCTCTGGAAAATGGAGACTGCTACATGACCTTCGAGCAGTAAATGCTCAGATGCAGATCATGGGACCGGTGCAACGGGGGCTCCCCCTGCTTTCGGCATTACCTAAAGAATGGCCTATTTTAGCCTTAGATATTAAGGATTGTTTTTTCTCCATACTGCTCCATAAAAAGGACAGGGAGCGCTTTGCTTTTACTTTACCTTCAGTTAATCATGAAACTCCGGATGCTCGCTACCAGTGAAAGGTTCTCCCTCAGGGGATGGCTAATAGCCCAACAATTTGTCAATTGTTTGTAGGAGCTGTGTTGGCCCCTGTTAGAAAAAACTTTCCAAAGGTACGGATTATCCATTATATGGATGATATCTTGTTGGCTGCTCCTTCAAAAGAGACTCTTCATAAAGTGTTTGGGCAGATAACGGAGACCTTAGCTGAGAAGGGATTGATAATTGCCCCTGAAAAGGTTCAACAGACTAGTGTTGTTCAATTTCTGGGAACCATTGTTTCTCCCAATGAGATTAAGCCGCAAAAGCTCTTTATTCGAACTGATCACCTTAAAACACTTAATGATTTTCAGCAATTGGCAGGAGACATTAATTGGATAAGGGGATTTCTTAATCTCCCTCGGTCAGAGTTGTTACCTTTGTTTGCCATTTTGGAGGGTGACCCTGAAGTCACCTCCTCTAGGTCCCTGACACCTTTAGCACTAAATTCCCTACAAAAGGTTCAGGCAGCTTTGTCTAGGGCTCAACTTTCACTGGTTGATTTAAAATTACCTATCGATTTATGTATATTAAAAACGAAAAATTATCCCACGGGGGTTCTTTGGCAAAATGGCCCCTTGTGGTGGCTTCATGGCAACTCGGTGGGAGCAAAGACAGTCCAATATTTTCCTGAATTAGTGGCTAAACAAGCACTTTTGGGCATAAAGTATTGTTTGATGCACTTTGCAAAGATCCCAGATAAATTAATCATTCCATATACCCGTGAGCAAGTTGAGATTTTGGCCGCTACAGTGGATATGTGGGCGATTCTTGTTTGCTCATTCCCCAATATTATTGATAATCATTATCCTAAACATCCTTTGCTTGCCATAGTTAAAAAAGATTTAATATATTTTCCTGTTGTTACTTCAAAGAAACCCTTGGCTGATGCTTTAACCATTTTTACGGATGGATCAAAATCTGGACAAGGTGCCTTCCTTGTTCAAGGACGCCGACAGCCGGTGGTCTTTAATTTTCGGCCAAACGTCCCACAGGCTGTTGAATGTTTAATTGTGCTTGAAGTTTTTAAAAGATTTGATCAACCTATTAATTTATTTTCTGATTCACTATATGTAGTAAATGCTGTTGCTTCCCTTGAAGTTGCTGCTTCAATTAAACAGGCTAGTACAATTTCTAATGTTTTGCTACAGATTCAATCCCTTATTTTAGACAGAAAACACCCTTTTTATATTGGACATATTTGTGCTCACTCTATGTTGCCGGGCCCAATGGCAAAGTGTAATGACTTAGTGGATCGAGCAACTCGGGCTGTGGCTCTGGTCGCTGCTGATCCTGTAAAATTGGCAGAGGATTTTCATAGGTTGTATCATGTGCCTGCAAATACCCTTAGAAAAAGATATAATTTGCCCAGACATGTAGCTAGGGAAATTGTTAAAGCCTGTAAATCTTGTGTTACCTTTCTTCATCCTCCCCATGTGGGGGTAAACCCCAGGGGGTTGAGACCAAACGCCTTGTGGCAAATGGATGTTACTCATTTGACAGAATTTGGAAAGTTAAAATATTTACATGTGTCTGTGGACACCTTTTCTGGTGTCATTCATGCCACACCTTTGGCAGGAGAAAAGGTGTCTCACGTTAAAATACACTGCTTGGAAGCTTGGGCAGCTTGGGGAAAGCCCCTTAGACTTAAGACAGATAATCGCCCTGCTTATACTTCCCAGGGTTTTCGTGCCTTTTGTGCACAACTGCAACTTGCCCACACTACCGGGTTGCCTTATAATCCTCAAGGACAAGGTATAGTGGAAAGAGCCAATAGAAGCATAAAAGAAATGCTTCAAAAACAAAAAGGGGGAATTGCTGAGTCAGCGTCCCCCAGGGAAAGACTTTCCCTTGCGCTCTTTACCCTCAATTTTTTAATTTTAAATGATAAAGACCAGTCTGCAGCAGACCGGCATGTGACAAGAGACTCTACAGACAATAAAGACATGGTTATGTGGAAGGATGTCATTGATAACAAATGGTATGGACCGGATCCGGCTATTACGAGATCCAGGGGAGCTGTTTGTGTTTTTCCACAGGATCAAGAAACACCACATTGGGTCCCAACTCGGCTAACAAGATTGGTCAAGGAAACTCAGGACGAAAAACAGGATGATCAAGAAGGCGTTGAGCGTGATAATATTACTGATGGTCAAGACCTATCACAGTCAAGGAGAGCTACGATGGGGGATCCTATCGGTGTTCCCGAGGCCGATGCCAGTTAGGCACGATGCCCGCCTTTTTCCAAGGTTATTTAGTACTAACAAAACCATGGATCTCCCGTACCTCACACTGGATGTGGAAGAAGCGCCCATCAGAGAAAATCGATCCATTTCCCTAAACGGGAGCTTGTGCTTCCATTTGGTTAAAAATGCATCTGCCCTTTCTCCAGGCATCCTGCTCTTATCTCAAACAGCAGTTATCTTTTAGGTAATTGGACTGGCGAGTTTGATGAGATGCTGGAGAAGCTGCGGATTGCCATTGTGACTGTCAATTCCACGCGAATGGATCCCGGATTTGTGGAGGGGCTCCAGTCCTGGATTTCCTCCGCTGTTTCCTGGTTCAAGGAATGGGTGGGGGTGGGGTTTATTTTTAGCTTGCTGCTTGGGCGGATGCGTGGTCTGCCTATGGTTGGTCTGTCGCCTTCGAGCCCAAACCAGTAGGGACAAAGTTGTTATTTCGCAAGCATTAGCCGCCTTGGAGAGTGGATCCTCACCCCAAATTTGGCTGTCGGCCCTGAGAGGTCATTAAGCCTTATCATTTCGCATAGCCCTAGCACCCCGAGGGATCTGGGGATCCCATTGCACCGGGACGGGTATGTGACTGATAACTTGGAACAGGGTGCAAGGCAAGTGCACTGCACTTGAGAAGAATTTTCCTCTCAAGAAGAGCACGTTGGGCTGCAAGTGGGTTGATGCCCAAGATCCCACCTCTGCAAAAAAGGCATCGGACGGGCCTGGTCGTCACTGGGGAAGGCGCCCCCCAGGCGAAGGCCAGTGCAAGGTCCTCTTTTTGAGGCAGAGGCCCGACCTCTACTCTTACCTGTTGCCAAAACAAAAAGGGGGAACTGCAGGGAGCTGGGACAAACGCCATTACAAGATGGCGCCCACTTCCTTTCAGCTTAGAGGTAAACAACTCCACATTAGGCAGTGCTTGGCGGGACTGCGGGTCCCTAGCTTTGCGCATGCACCACCATCGTAAATCCTGAGCCAATCCCGTGGCACCTGGTGACGGCAAAAGGCGGACAGCCAATCCTGAAGCGACCCGTGTTCCAAACCCTATATAAGCGGCTGTATTTCCTTGCTCACTCTTTTGCGCTCAAGCTCTCCCTTCAACTAAAAGGCTCTCCAATAAAGTGTGATCTGAGAAGACTCCTGGTGTGGTGATCGTTCTTCCTCGCTGGCCGAGAAGGCGTTCGCCGCAGTGGGTGAAAGCATAGAGTTGAAGTAATGGAATAATAAAGGAATTCAGCTCCTTCTCACTTATGGAAAAGGACCCACCATCTTGGTAATTCTCAAACATAGTATACCAGATCACCCTCTTGTTTGTTAGAGGGTGGCTATCTGTAGCTGGAAGAAACCTCAGGGATGCTGCTGCTGTATTTTTCCACACTCTCACCCCAAGCACACATCTTACCTGCTTGTATCACTGGCAACTTAATGCTGGCAGCGAGACCCATAAACTGTACCTGGGTGAGTTTAATTCTGGGTAATGAGTGACTTGGCAAAGGTGGTCTCAGTCATCTTCCTGGGTTAGGTTGGGTTGTGTCCTGGAGCTTTTTGCTGTTTTTGTTTTGCTGTCTTTTCTTGGTACAAAATTTAATATAACAAAAATAGTGCCCACATTGCTGCCCAATAAAAGCTTGGCTTCAGGAAGTAGTGCTGTGGCTCAAGTGGTAGAACACTCAGAGCTGAAGAGCTGCAGAGTTCAAGCCCCACGACCAAAAAAAAAAAAAAAAAAAGCTTGGCTCCATCACCTGATTTATTGTATGACTTACATTTATCATGCTTTATTTGGCTCTTGAATAGCCCCCACCCCCACCCCAGGGCCAATGTGTTAAAGGCTTGGTTCAGGGAGCTGGAGGTGCAGTTGAAGTGGTGGAACCTTTTTTTTGTTGTTGGTGGTGGTGATGGTGGTGGTGGGGCTTAAACTCTGGGCCTGGGCACTGTCCCTTAGCTCTTCAGCTCAAGGTGAGCACTCTACCACTTGAACCACAGTGCCACTTCCTATCTGGTGGTTAATTGGAGATAAGTCTCACAGATTTTCCTGCCCAGGCTGGCTTTGAACCTCGATCCTCAGATCTCAGTGTCTTGAGTAGCTAGGACTGTAGTGGCGTGAGCCACAGGCGCCCAGCTAAGTGGTAGAACCTTTAGGAGGTAGGACCTACTAGAAATAGGTTAGATCACTGAGGATTGCTCTGACTCCTTCCTGTCTCTCTCCTTGCTTCCTGGTTACTGTGAGGTGAAATAGTTCCACTATGATGTATGGCCCCAAAGCAACAGGACTAAGAACCACGGATTGAAATCTCTGAAACTATGCATCAAAATAAGTTGATTAGCTCAAACTTTTTCACAGCAATGGCAAGTTGACTAATACACATTGTTTCTAAATTTCTGATTACCCTTAAAACATCTTTGAAATATAAGAAGAAATGTTTCCTACTGGAAAGATTCATGTAAAGATACATAACAAGGGACAGAGGAAATTGTACAAATCTGTTAATTTATTACAAAAGGTCCACTCACAGAAAAACACAAGGAAACTTTTATACTTTTGTATGTATTTGGGAAAGGAACTGGCTTCTCCATTACAAAATAATTTACACATAATCCATACAGTTTTTATATATAGAAATAGGTCATTTTTACAACAGCTGTACAATTCACTACACTCTGTCTTATAATTACATAAAATCTTTTCTTTAGAAACATCTCAACATAACAAAACATACAAAAAAAGTCAAAGTGCATTTTGAAACAAAATCCAATCCTTGGGAATGATTGTGAAAGATCTGTCAAAGGATGCAGCCTCTAAACACGCAGGCCAGCACGTGGTACAGCATCCTTAGAGATGGCCCCTTTCTAGGCTGCTTGGCTTGTGAAACTCTGCCCTCATAGGATTAGACTTCTTTGTGGAATTCTGGAACATTAGGTACATATTTGTGCTTAGCTTTGGAGCCCCCTTGGTAGTTGCAATTGATAAAGTGAAGAGGAAATAGTCCAGTGTTATATGCTGGAGGGGACGATCACCACTAGTGGGAAATGGGCTGAAGAGCGTAAATCCACTAAGGTTTAGGCCAAGGATGCAGGTCTGCAGCTTTTTTAAAGACCAGCTTCGTGGGCTGGTTCGTGGGCTATTGTTTGTTACTGTGGTCTCCAAGTGAAGCGGGAGACATTATTATTATTATTTTAAAAAACAGAAAGTACCTATAGTTATTTGCTCTGCATCTGTGCAAATTAAAACAAAACCAATCATTTAAAAATAATGAAAAATAATCTCTTTATTCTCTCTCTTTCCAATAATCTCTGACTCAGTCCTTGAATGCAAAGGAAAGATGACCAAGAGACTGAAGGCCTGGGTAGAATAACCTGTGGGCTCTCTGGGGGTGCCTTGAAAAGCACTATCACCACAGGTAAACTGAGGAACAGTGACTTCACGCTTCCTGTCCAGCATGGCTGTAAAGGGTGGCAGAGAACCCTGATGTCCAGGAATCATAGCCAGTCTTCTTGTTCTTTCTTCACCCTCCAGAAGTGACCACCATCCAGGTGTTCTGAAATTTAGAGTACACAGAAGCAAGTGGCTTCTGTCCCTCTCCTCATGGCCAGCCACTTTCTGGTCCCTTGGTTAAAGCTGATTGTGTTTCCACTCCAGTACCAGGCCACTACCGGGGTGGTGGCTGCAAGCCTGAGGACTCAGAGAGCCGGTTGACCCTGCGGGGTGGACGAGGGGGCTGCTGTTGTGGCTGTGCAGGTGGTGAGGCATAGCCCAGGGTCCCTGGTTGCTGGGAGTAAGTGGAAAGAAGAAGAGAGTCTGGGGGCTCACTGTGCAGAGAAGCCGATGCCTGGACCAGAGAAAAGAAAATGAGATCAGAGCTGAGTACTGGTGGCACATCATACCTGTAATCCTAGCTACTCAGGAGGCTGAGATCTGAGGATTACAGTTCAACGCCAGCCCGGGCAGGAAAGTCTGTGAGACTCCTATCTCCTCTTAACTACCAGAAAACTGAAAGTGGCGCTGTGGCTCAAAGTAGTAGAGCACTAGCCTTGAGGCAAAGAGCTCAGGGACAGCTCCCAGGCCCCAAGTTCAAGCTTCACAACTGACAAAAAAGAAAGGAAGGAAGGAAGGATCAGAGCAGGTGTGAGTGGCCAGCCTATCTCTGTTTTTAAGGCCACTATAATAGTCTTTGGGGATCTGGATGCTACCAGTGACTCACATCTATAATCCTAGCTATTCAGGAGACTGAGATCTGAGGATCATGATTCAAAATCAGCCCAGGCAGGTAAGTCTGAGATTCTTATCTTCAATTAACCACCAAAAAGCTGGAAGTGGAGCTGAGGCTCAAGTAGTAGAATAGCTAGTCTTGAGCAGAAATCAGGGACAGTGCCCAGGGCCTAAGTTCAAGCCTGAGTACCAGCCCCACCCCACCCCTCCACCCCACAAACAAACAGTAACAACAATAACAAAACTCTTGGTGGGGGTAGAAAAGAGAGAGCTGGCACAGAAACTGTTTTCAAACCTGGGGAGTGTGTGTGTGTGTGTTGTTTCATGGGAGGGGTGGCTCAGGTAGCATTCTGGAGGCTGTGAATGGCATCTGAAGCAACTGTAGGCATTCTGAAACAATTCTGAAACAAGCTGTTAACTAGAACTCAGGGCTTCCTTCTGGTGTAATGGGCCTGAGGCTGAAGCTGCAGGAAATGGTCTCTTATACATGTGCACGATCCACATGGCCCACTGTGTTTGTGAAGGATGGAGACCAAGGCCAAGGGCAGATGGCAGAGAGGCAGGATGCACACATTCTGACATGCTTGCCCGCAGGGTTGCTGTTCCCTGACTTATAACACTCCCATTCACCACCCTCTACTAGCAAGTGTCCAAAGTTCAAGTTTGAACTTCAGAAGCTTCAATCTCATTTCCACTCTTCTATGTCCAAGTAACCCAGCCTTTCTGCTCTGCCTATAAGGCTGTCAAGGACCCTGGTACCTGCCCTTGTGTGAGTTTATGCTGCTGATCTGCCACCTTGTTATCTCTACTCCTCCTTCACCCACATTCAAGTGGGGATTTCCTTGACAGGCCAAACTCTGCAGTGGAGGCCTCTGAGCCTTCCTTCTCTCCAAATCCTTTCTCCCATGAATCAGCCCCTCCCCCCGACACCCAGTAGCCCCCACTAACACAGAGCCTGTGCTGTAGTAAACCACCAGGCCAAAGAGCTGTTTGTATCCTGACCCTGCATGCTGCTGCTGTAGCAGAAGTTTGGAAAGTGTTCATGTTCCCCCTCCCACACCCGCCTGTCCTCTTCCTCATCATTCTTACCCCAAATCACTTTGTGCCTAGAGAGCTAGCAAGCTCTGCAAAGCCAAATTAGTGGACACCACTAGGCATGGGTTTAGGGAGGTTTCAGAATTCACAGATTGTTTGGCAGCTTTGGAATGAAATTACAACTCAGACCTTCATCTCTGCCCCACAACCCTCAAAGATGTTGCTGCCATGGTATGGCAGCCTCTGATTGAAGATACCAAGCAGGGTAAGTGGGCTGTCCTTGAAGGGGGGTGGGGGGGGAGTTGCACAGGACAGGGCAAGACTGGCCACATGTGTGGAAACCAGAGCCATGGAGGACCTCAGCGTGCGCCCTGACCCTGCCTGTCCAAGCCCATAGCCCACTGCTAATGACCCCTCCTCCTCCCAGTGTGTTTCACATTTGCTGAAAGTCATTTCTGAATTATGACTGCATGGCAGTGTGCTAAGAGGCCCCATCTCACAATTTTCATGTTTAATAAGGCAGTCCATTAGACCTTTTTTTTTTTTTTTAAATCAAATCTTTTTTTTTTTTTTTTTTTTTCCGGTCTTGGGGCCTGAACTCTGGGCCTGGGCACTGTCCCTCAGCTCTTCAGCTCAAGGCTAGCACTCTACCACTCCAGCCACAGAGCCACTTCCGGCTTTTCTGCTTATATCGTGCTGAGGAATTGAACCCAGGGCCTCATGCATACAAGGCAAGCACTCTACCACTGAGCCACCTTCCCAGCCCAGTCCACTAGATCTTTAACTCAGTATGATTTAATTTTACTTTTGTGTACATCTTTGTATAAAATTATAAGTGTACAGACATGTTCAACAAATAATGTCTGACTTTTGCACCAAAAATATGGGCATATCACAATGTGTAATTGGTAAAAATTTCCTTTAAAAGGGGCCATCGTGGCAAGCAGCCAGTGGTTTATGTCTATATTCCTATCTACTCGAGAGACTAAGAGGACTGCTGCTTGAAATCAGCCCAGGGAGGAAAGTCTACAACACTCTTATCTCTAGTTAACTGGCAAACCAGCAAAAAGCTGTAGGTGGATGTAGAGCTCAAGTGGTACAGTGCCAGCTTTAAGTGAAACAGCTAAGGAAAAGCATCCAGGCTCTGAGCTTAACCTGCAGGATTAGCACAAAAAAGGGGCCATGTAGCCGGGCGCCAGTGGCTCACACCTGTAATCCTAGCTACTCAGGAGGTTTAGATCTGAGGATCGAGGTTCAAAGCCAGCCCAGGCAGGAAAGTCTGTGAAACTCTTATCTCCAATAAACTACCAGAAAACTGGAAGTGGCACTGTAGCTCAAGTGGTAGAGCACTTGCCCTGAGCTGAAGAGCTGAGGGACAGCACTCAGGCCCAGAGTTCAAGCCCCATGATCGACGAAAAAAAAACGGGGGGCATGTTAGCAGATACCCCTTTGAGGCATAACAGCTTATCCTTAATTTGAGTGTTACACATACATGGACTTTATAAGCTTTAAGCATTAAAAGCTAAAAATGGGAATCTTTCTGGAGCTTTCCTCTCCTATCAAAGACAGGACAATCTTGAAAACAAGAGAAAGCCTATCTGATGTGGAATGTGTAGGATAATCCACCCTGTTCTCTGCGTCTAAACCTGTGTAGGTCCCCCTGGGCCCTGGTGCCCACCTGTAGGTAGTGTGGCGTCTGCTGCTGAGCCTGTGCCTGCAGGGGTGACGGCTGGGAGGCAGGGAAGCTGGGGTGAAGCACGGCTTGCCCCATCAGCAGAACGGGGGTCGCGGCGCTGCTGCTGGTGGCGTGCGAGTCTGGGCTAGGAAACACGGCCTGGCTCTGCGAATACCTGTTTAGTTTCATGTGGGAAGGAGAAAACAGATCTTCTAAGAAAGAGGCAGTGAGAGGATACTAAAGCGCTGGCCACAAAGGAGATCAGTTGTACATAAAAAACATCAAAGGGCGTATCCAAGGTGGTTTTCAAAAAGCAGCCTGTGGGACAGGGAAAATCTTTGCAAGTTATATAGCTGATGAGGTGTCAACACTCACAATATATAGTCTCTTCAAAAGAATCTGATAGCTCCACTTAAATACTGTGTTATATATATTCTAAAATATATAAAACACTTGTTAAAAATGATGTGGAGACAGTAAGCTTGTATGCAATGCTGGTAGAAATGTAAAATGGAGTGAACTCTGTGGAAAACAGCACAGAGATCCCTCAAAAAATTAAACATGAAACTAACATATGATGCAGTAATTCCCTTTCTGAATATATACGTAAAAGAAGCAAAATTAGTGAACAATACTTGTACACTCACAGAAATGTTATTCAGAAGCCAAAAAGTGGAAAGAGGCCAAGTGCCCATTGATAGAATGGATAAAAAATAAAGAATATATTCACAGAATGTAGTGTCATTCACTCTTAAAAAGAAAGACATTTTGACACAGTTACAACAGGAGTGAACCTTGAAGCCACCACACTAAGTGAAATAAATGGCAGTCACCCGGGGACAAATGCTATATGAGGAATCTAGAATATTCCAAGTGACAGAGAAACAGAAAATGGAGCAAGGGTTGCCAGGGGCAGCAGGAGTGGAGGGCTGATGGTTAAACAGGGAGAGGTTCAGCGTGGGAAGACAAGGCAGTTCTGGAAATGGATGGTAGAGACAGTGGTGCAGCAGTGTGGATGCACTTAATGCCACTGAATGATGTACTTACAAAAATCATTAAAATGGTACACATCATAGTATATATATTTTACCATAATCTTAGAAATGACAGATGTTGATGATAATGGCCCATGGACAAGGAATGCAGGAAGACCATGAAGGAAAGGTGTGGAGGATTATGGGTCAGAAATGGATGTTAGAAGACAGGACAGAGAAGTCTACCTGGCTTTAGATTTTTAGAGAGAGAATTTCTTCAGTGAGGTTATCTGCAGTGGGTTTGGGGCTCCACACTTGCCTTGAGGTAGGGTGTGTGTGTGGGGGGGGGGGGGTTTGGGGCTCCACACTTGCCTTGAGGTAGGGTGTGTGTGTGTGTGTGTGTGTGTGTGTGTGTGGGTTTGGGGCTCCACACTTGCCTTGAGGTAGGGTGTGTGTGTGTGTGTGTGTGTATGTGGGTTTGGGGCTCCACACTTGCCTTGAGGTAGGGTGTGTGTGTGTGTGTGTGTGTGTGTGTGTGTGTGTGTGTAGAGACCTAGGTAGGTACCAGCTCTCTCTGTCCATGTGATGCCATCTGTCATGTGAGTAGCACCAGGCCCTTGCTGGACATGAGCTTGCCTTGAGAGGGAGAGAGAGGTAGGTGTGTGTGTGTGTGTGTGTGTGGACATGAGCTTGCCTTGAGGGGTGTGTGTGTGTGTGTGTGTGTGTGTGTAGAGACCTAGGCAGGTACCAGCTCTCTCTCTCCATGTGATGTCATCTGTCATGTGAGCAGTGTGTGTGTGTGTGTGTGTGTGTGTGCGTGTGTGTGCGTGTGTGTGTATGTGTAGAGACCTAGGCAGGTACCAGCTCTCTCTCTCTCCATGTGATGTCATCTGTCATGTTAGCAGCGTGTGTGTGTGTGTGTGTGTGTGTGTATGTGTGGAGACCTAGGCAGGTACCAGCTCTCTCTCTCTCCGTGTGATGTCATCTGTCATGTTAGCAGCGTGTGTGTGTGTGTGTGTGTGTGTGTAGAGACCTAGGCAGGTACCAGCTCTCTCTCTCCATGTGATGTCATCTGTCATGTTAGCAGCGTGTGTGTGTGTGTGTGTGTGTGTGTGTGTGTGTGTGTGTAGAGACCTAGGCAGGTACCAGCTCTCTCTCTCTGTGTGATGTCATCTGTCATGTTAGCAGCGTGTGTGTGTGTGTGTGTGTGTGTGTGTGTGTGTGTGTGTGTAGAGACCTAGGCAGGTGCCAGCTCTCTCCATGTGATGTCATCTGTCATGTGAGCAGCACCAGGCTCTTGCTGGACATGAGCAGATGTGAAGTGCTGTTTTTATACTTCCGGTGCTCTAGAATATATATAAACCTTCCTGCTTTATAAGTTACACAGTCAGTGGCATCCCGTGATAGCAGCAGAAAATGGGCTAGGACAGGAAGTGAGAGCGAGGAGGCTGCATCTGGGTGGGAGAGCCACATTTGCAGGGTCTCATGGTCGTGGGTCATAGGGCCAGAAGCACCAAGCAGGTTGGGCTCAAAGTCTGCCAAAATGGACAGCTGGGGTTGAAAAAGACTAAATTTACCAGAGTTGTCCACCAGGGTGCAATGGTGTTTAGGCTTACAAATAACTCCAAAGATAATTGCAAATGAGGGACAGCATTGCTTCACGCAGATCCTGTTGGAAGCATGGAGAGTACGCACTAATTTTCATCTGCGTAAAACGGTAAATGGTGAGGGGAAAAAACAAAACCCTACAGGGAAGTCTTCACAAAGGCTGCGGGGCATACTTTGCTGGTCTTTAAGAAGAGACCCACAGTGAGTCGGCCAGCTCAGGCCCATGAAGCCCTAAAGCATAATTTGAAAGAGAAAGAGAAAGGCTGGGACCATTTAGCTCAGTCTCCACCTTCCCACCCCCACCAACCACCCCAGGCCACTTACTTGACTTGCCGCCCAGTCCTGCTGACCTCTAATGGCTGTCTTACATCACAGGATCCAGGCATCATGGGCTGGATGGGCTGGCTCAGTAGCAGCCTTCAGAGAGAAGAGAAATGGGAAGACTATGGATCAGCACCCAGACTGAAGCCCCAGTGTCCAGGGCAGCTCCACACAGCCTGGCTGGCCATCTGGCTGACTCTCACCCCCAGATCAAACACTATTGGGGGTGGGGTGGGGGACAGCGAGCTCTCTTCTGCCACTTCCTTAGCAGAGATCAACAGCTGAGTCCCGAGAGTCTGAATTCTGCCTGGAGCTAAGGCAGAATGGTGAGCTGAAGGGCAGTCCACACCTGAGCTGCCGATCGTGGCTGAAGTCGGGGCTGGGCTGGCACTGGCTGGCATCCTGGGAGGCGGAGGCAGGCGTGGTAAGACTCAGGCCTGGTGGGAGCACAGCCGAGGTGCTGCTGAACTGGGATGTCAGGCTGTTCACAGAGCGGGTGCTACCGTGTATCAGCTGGGAGCTTCGGATTGGCTTCGGACCCTGGAGTGTCATGTCATTGGATAGAGAACACTTAGATTCAACCCAGGCCATATCTCCAGGAAACTTCCCCACAGCCTTCCTCTACCCACCCTCGGCTCTTCTTGAACTTAGGATGCACCAACTCTGTACTGATTGTCTTGACTGTCTTTCTTGTTGTAAGCTCCTCAAAGATTCATGAAGTCCCTTGGGCCTTGGATAGTTCTGGCTTTTAGGAGACACATAACCATTGTGCACTGAATTCAACTAGTGTTTGCTTCACAAATGTCATTTCAGACATAGGGACCTCATTGCTGTTTCTCCAACTTACTAAGCTCATTCCTGCCTCAGGGCCTTTGCACATGCCAGGCCACCTATGTAGAATGTTCTTCACTATGCTGATAGATCTGATTCTCTCACCCCTCAATTGAGTCTTTGCCTAAATACTGTCTTCTCAAAGTGTCCTCTCCTGGTCACCCACAAAAAGCTCCAACCCATTTTCTGCCCAGCAAAACTTACATCATCATTTGATAGTTTGTGAGTTTTACTCATTTGTATCTCTCCTTCCACTTAGAGCAAAGTTTTTAAAAATCCTTTTTATCTAGTACTCTCCCTCAGTGTTAGGAATTTGGGGGTTGCCATATAGGCCTCCAATATTTATCCAGTGAAGTAACAAATAAATGAGGGACTGGGCTCTGGTCTGTTTCCCTTCTATCTGTCACTGCTCATTGTGTCAGTTTTTAGACTTTTTTAAAAACAAAATCTTGCCATAACGTATAGTGTAAATCCTTCCTTAGGGTTTTCTTTTCCCAAATGCTGCTATTCCCACCCATTTTGATGATTCTTTGACTCAGTTACACTTTCAAAAAAAACCTTAACATTAGGAAAAATGGATTATTATTATAATTATTGGTACTGATCTGGGGCTTGAATTCAAGGCAGGGGCACTGTCCCTGAGCTTCTGTGCTCAAGGCTAGTGCTCTGCCACTAGAGCCACAGCTCCATTTCCACCTTTTTGGAGATAAGAGTCTCATGAGCTTTCCTGCCCAGGCATGTGTTGACCCATGATCCTCAGACCTCAGCCTCCTGAGTAGCTAGGATTGCAGGCATGAGCTACCAGTGCTTAGCTAATATTCTTATTCTTGAACCCTCTATCTAGGCTGAGGTTATGTACAGTATTTTTTTCTTGGCATTATTCTCTAAGCAATGTAACAACCACTTCAAAGCATCATGTCTGGCATGTTACGTGACCTACAGACAATTTAAAATATGTGACAGAGGATGTACGTAGGCTCTGAGCAAAGATTGTCTTTTTTCTTCACTATTGGGGATTGAACTTTGGGCCTTAATACTTGCTAGGTAAGTGTTCTACCACTTGAGTCACACCCCAATCCTTTGACTGTTAGTTGCTTTTCAGATAGGTTTGCCCAGGCCAGTCTTGGATTAAGACGATCCTGCCTCCACCTTCTTATTATCAGGGATATAGGCAGGAACCACTAACTGGCTTAAAGTCTTGATAACTTTTGCCCAAGCTGTTCTCAAACCATGATCCTCTTATTTCTGCCTCCTGAGCAGCTGAAATGAATGCCATGCACTACCATGCCCATTTATACAAGGGACCTGACTATCCTCGGTTTTTCCTGTTACCTACCTCATAGGAAAACTGAGGGTAAACTGTATTTCCCCCATTATCTGGGGGGAACCTTATCTGGCTAAGTTCCCAGATTCTCTGTTATGCCGGGAGCACATGAGGGCAAGGGCACTTCTCATCCTGTGTGTTTCTCTGTGAATAGGAACTCAGCCCAAGCTCCCTGGGGCCCCGGGAACTGTGTAGATATGAAGGTTGAAGGGGAGGCAGCGTCCCACTTTCAGTCCTTTGGTTTCCTGGGAGCACGGGGCTCAGGACTTCATAATTTGACTCCATTCAAGTGGCACTTATCCACCACCAGCAGAGTCCCATTGGGAGATGGGTAGCACTCGCAGTGCAGGAGAGTGGCTGCACAGGAGGGGCTCAGCAGGGTAACAGGTGGGCAAGGTGGACCTGGGGTAAGGGACAATGAACCGAGGGACGTGACCACCAGTGAGTGTCCAGGATGTTCTCATTGCTCCCAGGATCAGTTCAATATCCATGGTAGGAGCAGGGATTCCAGAAGGATCCCAATATAATACAACTTGGCCCCTCCAAGCGATTGCACAATAAAGAAAAGCACACACCCTGTCTCAGCCTGCCCCAGGCTGGGCAGCACAGCTCTCAGCTGTGGGGGTCAATTATGTCCTGGCTTCAAGACTGACTACAGGAGTGACCAGGACAGAGTGTGGGGCAGGTTGTGTTACCTGGGTGGAGAGCACACTTGGTTCTCTGAGCAGGTGCTGGTTGGTGACTTGGGCCGAGGTCATGGGCCCAGCGAGCTGAGAGCTGGCCACCAGCTGGGGCTGAGCCGCTGCACCCGGCCTTTGCTGGAGCTGCTGTGGAGCCTCGGGCCGCTGGGTGCTGCTGAAGCTCAGGGACACTGCTGGCTGCTGCAGAAACATCTGGGAGCAGAAGAGAAGCCCCTGTGAGCTGGGGCCATGCGTGCCCCACAGGCAGGTGCCTTCTTTGTCTTTCCTGTTACAGTAAGAGCACAGATTTCTTTTTTTTTTTTTTTTGGTCGGTCGTGGGACTTGAACTGTGGGCCTGGGCGCTGTCCCTCAGCTCTTCAGCTCAAGGCAAGCACTCTACCACTTGAGCTACAGCGCCACTTCCAGTTTTCTGGTGGTTTATTGGAGATAGGAGTCTCACGGTCTCTCCTGCCCAGGCTGGCTTTGAACCGCGATCCTCAGATCTCAGCCTCCTGAGTAGCTAGGATTACAGGTGTGAGCCACCAGCGCCCAGCAAGAGCACAGATTTCTTCCATTTTTTCCCCTTGCTTTATGGTAGTACTGGACCATGCACTTGCAAGCAGGTGCTCCACCCCTGGAGCCACACTTTTAGCCTTTTTTTTTTTTTGCCTTAGCTATTTTTGGAATACTGTCTCATGTTTATACACTGGATTGTGATCTTCCTATTTGTGCTTTTGGAGGACAAAAGGCATAAGCCACTACACCGAATTTGCTAGGTGAGATGGAGGGTCTCACTGACTTTTGCCTGGGCTGGCCTCCTAACTGCAATCCTCCTGCTCTCTGCCTTCTGAGTGGCTGGAATAAGTCCATCATCACTGTGCCTGGAAGATTTATATTCTTTTTCTTCTTTTGTCAATCTTGGAGACTGAACTCAGCCTGTGCCTGCTAGGCAAGCATTTTCCACTCGAGATACATCTTCAGTCGTTTTGTTTTTAGGCTTTAAATAGGGTCTTGTGCTAGAGGTCTGATCTTCCTATCTCTGCCTCCTAACTTGCTGGGATTATAGGCATGTGCCACCATCACTAGCTAGGGCAGATGTCTTACCCTCCTTGACCTACCTGGACACAGCTCATGATGTAGCAGCAGACCCAGCAGTGGGTTAGCTACACACTGTCACTGCCTTCATGAAGGTCACAATCAAGTGAATACTTCTGACACTGAAAGTGTGTATACATCAGGTGCTCTGTACATCATTTGATATACTTTTTATGGTTCAAGTTGGCTTACCAGCTCCTTATAAGGGAGCCCCTTGGGAAAGGAACACATAATGTCTTAATGGTGCCAGGTTGCATAATCCATGGTATGGGCCATATTATACCTCAAGTAGGACTAGGCCCTATCTATGCCCAGTAACTGGTGGATGGATAGATAAGTGGGTGACAGATGGGTGTGTGGATGGATGGAGAGGAAGTTGCATGGGAGGACAGATGGACTGTAGATGGTAGAAGGAACCAATCAGTGTGCATGTTATTTGCTACTACATTACTACAGTAGTCCTTTAAGGAGCTCACCTGGGAAGCCAGCAGAGGGCAGACATGTCTCAAAAAGAACAAGAGGCAGTCTCTCACTGATGAACTGGCAATGGGGACTTTCAGCACATCCATAGATTTACAGGGCCTCACAAAGGTTTGAACTTATCAATAATAACTGAATAACCAGGGACGTGAGCCAGTCATCTGGCCAAAAGGGAATTTTATGGCTTAAGACAATACGTGTGTGTGTGTGTGTGTGTGTGTGTGTGTGTGTGTGTGTATGCGTGCACGCGCATCTATTGTGGGGCTTGAACTCGGGGCCTAAGTCCTGTCTCTGAGCTTCTTTTGCTCAAGGCTTGTACTCTACCACTTGTGTCACTTTCTTCTCCTTCTCCCTCCTTCCTTCCTTCCCTCCCTCCTTCCTTCCTCTCCTCCTCTTCCTCCTCCTCCTTCTTGTTGGTTAGTTGGTTGGTCGGTTGGTTGGTCGTGGGCTTGAACTCTGGGTCTGGGTGCTGCCCCTCAGCTCTTCAGCTTAAGGCTAGAGCCCTACCACTTGAGCCACAGCACCACTTCTGGTTTTATGAACAGTTTAATGGAGATAAGAGTCTCACAGACTTTGCTGCCTGGGCTGGCTTTGAACCTCGATCCTCAGATCTCAGCCTCCTGAGTAGCTAGGATTACAAGCATAAGCTACTGGCACCCGGCTCTTCTGGTTTTCTGAATAGCTTTTAGAGATAAGAGTCTCATGGAATTTCCTGCCTGAGCTGACTTCAAACTGCAATCCTCAGATCTCAGCCTCCTGCATAGCTGGGATTACAGGTGTGAGCTACCAGTGCCCATCAAGACAATACTTCTTTAAAGACTCTGAGGGTCAATTTTATGGAAAATGTGAAGAAAAATTGTTCCCTAATTCAAGTAGGAAAAGTTTTTTACTTTATAGAACAAACTGACCTTGTATTCATTATTTTTGTTGGCTTACTTTGACAAATTCTTGTCATTATAGGATGCTTCAGACACACAAAATAAAGTACAATTAGGTCCCACATGATAATACATCTTCCATAGAATTCAGTATTTATCACAAGCTTGTCATTCTATGTCATCAGACATAGAATGCAGCCCCCTCCCCTCCATCTTTTCTTTTGTGTGAGTACTGGTGCTTGAAATGTGGTGCTATTCCTTAGCTTTTTCACTTAAGGCTGGCACTCTACCACTTGAGTAACAGCTCTACTTACAGCTTTTTGGCGGTTAATTGGAAATAAGAGTCTCATGGACTTTTCTGCCTGGGTTGACTTTGAACAGTGATTCTCAGATCTCAGCCTCCTATGGTGAATAGCTAGGATTACAGGTATGAGCCACTGGTGCCTGGCTACCCCACTCTTTGGGGAAGGTGTGGGGGTGGTTGGACTAGTTTTTACTTGCTTATTATGTATATTAAATCACAGAATGTCTCCTTAAAAACAAATGTCACATTTTAGTTAGGCATTGTAGAATGTATTTCTTTATCTTAAAAAGAAAACAACCTACATACAAGATGGTTGACTGCTGGAGGAATCTTCTCTGGTTTGACTATCTGTAGATTTCCATGTTCTTTGGAAAATTCCACTGCCAAGATCAGGCCCAAGGAAGGAAGAGAGGAGCTGATTTCCATGGCGCCTCTCACAGAGCTCAGGTGCTCTTTGGAACTTTAAAAAATGCTCTGGCCAATGAGGAAATACCCTAATTCTCTGTAGTGGAGTCAAAAGTGCTAAGTCTGTCATGTGCTGCTTGCAAGTCTAGCTCTTGTTGCTGATGCAGGAAGTGGACTGTGGTGAATGTTCATACACCTAACTTAGTGTGAACACTCTCTGGCTCAGTCTCCCCCTTTCCCATTAGTGTGAAAACTCTACTCAAGTGATTACAATTGGGCAAGTTCTGGGTTTACCAACCAGGCCTTGGGATCAGCAGGAAGAATGCTGTAACTGGGAAAGAATAAGTACAAAGGGTCTGCTTGGCTGGGTGCTGGTGGCTCACACCTAGAATCCTAGGTGTGAGATCTGAGATCTGAGAATCCCAGTTTAAAGCCAGTGTGGGCAGAAAATTCCATAAGACTCTTATCTCCAATTAATTAGCAAAAAGCCCCAAATAGAGGTATGGCTTAAGTAGTAGAGCGTCAGCCTTGAGTGAAAAAGCTAAGGGAGAGTTCAAGCCCCTGAATCAAGCCCACAGTACTGGCACACTCACAAAAGGGCTTCTTATTATGTTGATAGCTTGATGCCCCCTTTCTACGCGTGCGACCACCTTTGTGTGTGTAAGAGTGTCTCTGAAGCAGGACGCTGGGTGTGGTGCAGGCCGTCTGGGTGAGGCTTGCTGCTTGCACGGCAGTCACAGAGGCCTGGGGTGTAGGCACAGAGTGGTGGCCTGTCTTTGCCTGGGGTCCTCTCCATGGTGAGGGTGCTACTCAGGAGGAAGGGGAGGAACAGAAGTGTCACTCCTGGTCCCCATCACTGCCTAGGAGCACTATAGGAGACACTGGCAGGCAGGAAAACCAGGGGAGGTGTCTACAGCCAACCAACATCCTGTGTAAATTCGGTTGTACATGCGCTCCTGCTATGGCCTGCCACTGTCTGTTGTTGGTGACACTGAGCTTCAGAAGCTAGGTGGTCCAGAGAAGATCCATATGGCAGGGACAGGGAAGCAGCAGGGACAATGTTCTGAGGGGTCTCTTCTTGTATCTCTAAAGAGAGTAGCAGAGCTTGGTGGTCCAGGCAGACTCCAAGCTTTGCTAGAATTACATTTGCAACGGAAGATTGAGCCTAAATGCAATTGTGAAGACATTCCTGTACTAAAACAGGTAAAATTTAGTAAAAAAATAATCGTGTGTTTGTGTGTGTGTGTGTGAATGCCACACCAGAACTTGGGTTTGAACTCAGGGCCTTGGTGCTATTCCCTAGCTTTTTCTTTTTCTTTTGCACAAACTGGTGCTCTACCACTTGAGCCACAGCTACACTTCTGGATTTTTGGTGGTTAGCTATAGATAAGAGTCTCATGGACTCTCCTGCTCGGGTTGGCTTTGAACCTCAGTCCTCAGATCTCAGCCTCCTGAGTAGCTAAGATGACAGGTGTGAGCTGCCAGTGTCGGCTAAATAACTTATCTCTAAAGAGAGATCTAACAGTCCAAGTTTTCCCTCCAAAATTAAAATTGCCTGAAAGGAGTCCAAGAAGTATACCTCGTAATAAACTGAGAGCTGCTTCCATCAGACTGAACAGTGTCCACCTGGCTCATGGGACAGGTGGCTGGGAGATGGCCCTTCTCTGTGCTGCCCTCTCAGGCTGTGTGTAGTGTGCACAGTGTGCTCCTCCCTTCTCCCTGGCCTCATGTGTTCATATTATGTCAGAGGAAACAGTATAAAGTTGCCTGTACCTCTTGCTGCTGGGGCTGAAGCTATATGCATGTTGGGAGCTACAATTTAGGACCCAAGTGGTAATCAAAGGTCAGATTTGAGGATAACAACTCAGGGAAGGCAGCCAATGGATGGGGCCTGCAAGAGTGATCTGGAGGGAAGGGGAATTTCATGTCTGGGCAGGAGATGGGAACAGGGAGGTGAATTTGCTCCTTGCACTTTGCAATGGATGTTTCCATGTTCCCTGAGCATATGTGGCCCAGTGAGGTGCTTCACAGAGGCTTGGAGAAAGCTCTGGCTGTCTTAAGGACTGGCCCACAGAGTGGGGAGGAGGGAGGCCCACCTGGACAGGGACATACCTGGACATTGGAGTCCTGGACCAGGCAGAGCTGCTCCTGGATCTTATGGAGTTCTTCCTGCTGCCACCGGATGTTGGCCTGTAGGATCCGCGTCCGTTGTTCCAGCTGGTCTTTAATGGTCTGGAACATGCTGAACTGTGCTGAGAACTTCCGAGGGGGACAAGGTCAAACACACAACCAGATCAAGGAGTTATTTATTCTGCCTGGCGGAGAGCTCATGCATGATTACCATCAGCCCTGTGCGCATCCCCTTCCGGTCCTTGAGCTCAGCTGAGCTCAGGGAGCAGGAGCTGGGGATGAGGGTGTGGTGTGCTAGGGTATCCAGCCAGCGATCCTTTCCCAGGCTGCTGGTGACAGTATGCCCAGTTGGATCTCAGGACTGATTTACTGCACTGTAGGTAGGGAAGCCCACATAATCAGAGTATGATGGAAGTTCTACTTATATACAGATTCCAGATTTAGTCAGGGAGACAAAAGGACAGCATCTGAGTCTTTTTTTCTTCCTTTTGGTCATTGAAGGCATGATGTCATCATCACAGAAATTCCTGGGCCCTATCTTAAATCTGATCCTGGGGCTTTCCAATGGAGGTGGGACCATGGAGACCTTCCTGCCTTTCCATCTTCCTCTTGGGCTCACTTGCTGCTATGCAAGTCAGAAAAGAACACTCACCTGGCCAGAGAGGCTGGTGGCTCATACCTGTGATGCTAGCTACTCAGGAGGCTGAGATCTGAGGATCTCAGCTGGAAGCCAGCCTGGATGGGAAAGTCCATGAGACTCTTCTCTCCAATTAACTGGACAAAAGCTGGACTCTCTAAGGCTGTGGCTCTCATTTACTAAGGCAAATGAACTTTCCGGACTTGAGATTTTCTTTTTTCTCTTTCTTTTTGTCAGTCCTGAGGCTTCAACTCAGGGCCTGGGCACTGTCTCTGATCTTCTTTTCTTTTGCTCAAGGCCAGCACTCTACCACTTGAGCCTCACCGCCACTTCTGGCCTTTTCTGCGTAGGAATTAAACCCAGGGCTTCATGCATGCTAGGCAAGCACTCTACCACTAAGCCACATTCCTGGCCCCTGGACTTGAGATATTCTTTTCCTCTTTACTCCCCGCTCCTTCCTTTTGGTTTCTCCACTGTGCCTTTGGCCTTGAACTCGATAGGCAAGTGCATTATCATTTGGGCTACTCCACTAGCCCTTTTTGTGGTTGGTTATTTTCTTATTTTTATTTTTGAAAAGATTTTTATTGTTATTATAAAGGTGATGTAACAGAGGGCTTATAGTTATGTAAGTCAGGTAAAGAGTACATTTCTCTTGGACAATGTCACCCCTTCCCTTGCTCTCTCCAAGGTTTTCCCTCTCATCTCCACTGTGTTGGTTATTTTTGAGAGTTTTGCTTTGTGTCTGGGACAGCCTACATGTCATTCTCCTGAACTGCTAAGCTAACAGGTACATGTTACCCTGCCCAGCCATTGGTTGAGATGGAGTCTTAAAAACTCAGCCTATTCCTCACTGATCTTGAACCACAATCCCCTATTTATACTTCCTAAGCAGCTAGGATCATAGGCTTGAGCCAGAGTTGGGCTTCTCTTTTTCTTCATTTTCTCCCTTCTTCCTTTCCTTTCTTTTTTAAGCTTCTTCTCCCACTCCCTTCGTTCTTTCCTCCTTTCCCTCCCCTTCCCTTTTCTTCCTTCTTGCCCCTTTCTCTCCCCCTCCCTTTGTTACTCCCTACCTCCTTTCCTTTCTTCCTCTTTCCCTCCTTCTCTTCCCTTTCCTCTCTCCATCCCATCTTCCTAACCCTTCCTCCCTCTCTTTCATCCCTCCCTCTCATCTTTATACAATGCTTCCCTCTACTCCTGGTATCTTTATATAACATCTTCCAGTCTGCTTCTTGCCCACTGTCTTTGGCAAATGCCTCCAGAATCTTTTTCTTTTCTGTCCTTGCACACTTGGACTATCAGGGTGCCTGAGAGTGTGAAGACACAGACAGCACATACCAGAGGATGCTGTGACCAGCCACAGCCCTTGGAGCAGCAAATCGATAACGGAAAGAGCAAGGAGAATGGCAGGTACTGTCATTTGCAGACACCCACATAGGCCAGCCATTGCCCCAGACAAGCAGAAGTGGACTGACCCACTTCACATAAACCTGTGACATGCCTGCTCAAAGTCACCCAGCTGGATAAGGTCAGAATGTGACCCTGAGGTTAAGAGCTTGACTAGTAAGCCCTATTCCCAGTCCCCAGCCCACCTCAGTCACAGTGACTCACACTTGTATTTACACAAGTGTAAAAATGCCTGTCCTATGCTGCCTGCCGCACAAAACCACAGTAGAATCAATCAAAGCATTCAGCTGGAGTTTGGAAAGAACATTCTATCAAGCAAGCCACATGTATCAGATATTTAATTAAGAAAAAGACACAGAAGCTGCTGTGGTTGGTTCAGATCTTCCGCTCTACCTACAGCTGAGCCAGCTCTTCATTGTTTGGTTGGTTCTGAGACTGGCCACAGGGGCTAGCACTGCAGAGTAACAGGACTTAGCACTGTCCCGGGTTTTCTCTGGTGTCCAGGCTGGAACCAAGGACCTAGAGCACACCAGGAAATTCTCTATTGCTGAGCTACAATCCCAGCTCTTTTATTTTTATTTTTGGTCAGGTTTTGATGGCAAAGAAAGTGAGATACTTATCTCCAATTCACCAATAAAAAGCTGCGAGTAGAGCTGTGACTTCAGTGATAGAGCTGAAGCTTTGAATGAAAAAGCCAAGAAAAGTACAAGGGCCAGTACTGGCACAAAAAATATTTTAAAATTACCTTTAAGTAGTTGTACAAAGGGATTTAAATTCAGCATGTCAGTTTATGCTTGACCCTTTTTGGCAAAGAGGCCTACTCTACGTTAGAGACTTTTAAAACCTTTTTATTATATTTATTTAATTGGTCATGGGGCTTGAACTCAGGGCCTGGGAATTGACTCTGACTTCTTTTGCTCAAGGCTAGTGCTCTACCACTTCGAGCCACAGCTCCACTTCAGATTTTTGAGTGGTTAATTGGAACAAGATTTTCATGAGGAATTTTCTGGCTGGGCTGGAAAGATAGGAGATAGGAGAGAGGAGAGAGAAGGAGGGAGAGAGAAGGAGGGAGAGAGAAGGAGAGGGAGAGAGGAAGAGGGGAGAGAGATGGGAGAGAGAGAGAGAGATTTTAGAAGTATAGTAGTAAGCAAAAGAGGCTTTTGGAAAAATTATTTGTTATTCAGACAACTACTTTCCAGAATTTGGATTCTCTTTTACCCATCTCTGACAGAATGTGACACTGATAACACTGGGAGGGATTGAGGGGAAATTGAAAAATATAATCATTCTATTTGAGGTGGGTATGGGGAGGAACCGCTGACTTGAGAAGTCAATAGAGCTGGTTCCCTGTACATAGAGCAACCAGCTAAGGGTGGAAAATATTAGACAAGAGGTACATCTGAGCTAGGTGCTGGTGGCTCAAGCCTGTAATCCTACTAATCAAGATAATGTGATCCAGAGGACCCGGTTCAAAGCCAGACTGAGCAGAAAAGTCTGCTAGATTCTGTTTACAAAATAACCAGCAAAAACTGAGTTAGAGACATGGCTCAAGTGGTAGAATACCAGCCCAACAAGTAAGCCAGAAAGAGCACAAGGTTCTGATTCTAAATCCCAGGTTGTTCAAACAAAACAAAAGACTGCCCTAAAAACTGCAGTGAGCTGGGTGCTGGTGGCTCACGCCTGTAATCCTAGCTACTCAGGAGGCTGAGATCTGAGGATCACGGTTCAAAGCCAGCCCGGGCAGGAAAGTCCGTGAGACTCTTATCTCCAATAAACCGCTCAGAAAACTGGAAGTGGTGCAGTGGCTCAAGTGGTAGAGCACTAGCCTTGAGCTGAAGAGCTGAGGGACAGCATTCAGGCCCAGAGTTCAAGCCCCATGACTGACAAACAAAAAGAAAAAGAAAAAAAAGACCACAGTTGTTATTAATTACAGTGTACTGACAGACCAAGGTAGTTGCCATTACAAGTGAAGTCAAATGAAGAGTTAGAATTCTAACAGGGCTTTACTGACACCCTTGAGAGGCATTAACACAGACTTTCTTAACTATGCAGACCAGGTGGTCAGAGGAATTCTTTGTTATTTCACATGCCTTTCGATCGAAAGGTTACTTACTTCATACCATACATGTGCCTTAGCAATTTGAAGAGGAAAAGCATGCTTCTGATTTTTTTTTGCAACAAGGATAAAGATGGACTACGTTAATTAATAGAATGGGTGCACAGCTTTTAACTCACTCCTCAAGTCTGACACTGGCAAGAAGCATATGCTAGCATGTGTAAAGACTGTAGGCCACTTCTGTGTTCTGATTATGTTCTGAAATAGCTTCCATTAGCCATGGCAGATTTGCATGAAGGCAGAGACGGGCCTCACATGGACAAGCACCACTGGTGGCGAATCTCTAGGGACCCAGGTCTGGCTTGTGCCCAGGGATTAAGACAAAGCTAAATGCCACACCAAGGAAGGGAAGTCCGAGCCCTCGGCTTAGCAGAGGCTCTGCCAGTCAATCAGCCCAACTCCTCCCTGAGTCAGTCAGCCTATTGTGGGGCCCCTGTCCCCTCTACTCCTGGCAGATGAGAGGCTTCTGTACCTCCCCACTAAACATACACTCAGGTGCCTCTTTTCTGGTCCCCTGTCTCTCCATGTGGCAGCCTCCTCACCATCCTACCATGGCAGCCTGTTTGGTGATGGTTCTATAGAAACATCTCTCTTGCCTGGAGCAAGGCTCTCTCTACATGTCTGCCTGCCTCATCCTTAAACTCTGGGTATCAAGAGCAAGGACCAGGCTCTGATCATCTCTTCATCCCTAACTGCTTGCTCATAGACTGACCTAAATAAGAATTCACAGAATGTGGTTGAAATCGGAAGAAATTACTCAGCAAAGCCATAATCCTTTTTTATTTAAAAAAAATTCTGGTATTTATAGCACTGGACTCAATAGTTTTTAGATCCTTTTGGAATCTTCCTACGCCATGTGGCCTAAAGAAGACCTTTTCTACAACCTCACAGCCAATCTGGAGTCATAAAAAGGGAATGGAAGCTGAGCATTGGTGGCTCACACCTGGAACCCCAGATCCTCAGGAGACTGAGCTCTGAGGATCTGAGTTTAAAGCCAGAGCAGCAGAAAAGTCCATGAGCCTCTCTAGCTAACCAGAAATAAACCCCACAAAAACAACAACTCAAAAACCAGAAGTGGCATAAGTGATTAAGCACCACCTTGAGTGAAAAAAGTTAAGCCTCTCCTCCCCCATGCCCCCCCCCCCCCAAATAAAGAAGGTAGAAAGTGACAGATGAACAAAGATATCGTGAGGACAAGTAGACCTGGGGGAAAAGAAGTTGGGGGATGTACATGGATAAGCCAAGTGTGGCAGACAAGGCCAGGGATAAAGATGACAACATGGCTGCCTATGCCCCCATGTGTCTTGGGAGGCACACCCCGCTTGTAGGGCCTTGGTGGCTAGCACACGCCCAGAGGCTGTCATTCACTTTGTCTGGAAGAAGTGGTGCCCCGTCCCAAGTCCCAGATTCACCTGCGCCATGGGAGCCGGTGGAGTCTGCAAAATGGTCTGTGGCAGGAGCTGCTGCGCGAGGTCGCAGGTGGATGGGGAGGGCAGAGGGGTCTGGAAGGAGAAAGGAGCTTGTTAACTGACTGCTTCTGGGCTGTTCCAGGGGTGGCAGCTCTCATTCGGTAGGCTTCTCCAGTTAAAAGGAGGCCCTTGTGCAAGCCTCAAGGTGGACAGCTGAGCGTGAAGTCTTCCAGCAGGTATGCACATTTAGACGATGCTGGCTGGCCCACTTCCCAAGTAGGCAATGTGGTCAGGGCTGACACCTGCCTGGTACAGGGCACAGCTGGCCTTTGAACAAGCTCCTGGAGTATTCAGGGTCCATGATTCCTGGTCTGGGAGTCTATCCTCAATGAACTAAGCTGTTCTATCCCCTAAGTAACTGATCCTCAGCATGTCATCAAGCAGTCCCAGCAGGGATGCACTTTAGCCAGAGTGGGCTTGTGCATGACCCCAGTCTCTTCTGTGCATCAGGAATATAGACAGGCACACCTGCTGTGCGTGTCTGTATCCAGGATCTCATTTCGACAATGGAGACTGGATAGTGTCACTGGTCACATGGAATCTTTAGAGATCCTTCCCCCCCCCCCCCCCCCCGAGAAATGAGCCTTGCTCCTAGTCACTTGGGAGGTTGGGTAGGCAAGGGGAGATAACAGAAAGGGGCAGACAGAAGGAAGGAACTCCTCAGGTTTTTGAGCTGCTGCAAGTCTTTTGTTTTTGTTTTTAAAGGAAAATCAAAGGACTCTTCTGAAGTTGTCCCCAAACTGATTCCCCTTCCTGGTCCCTAGAGACTGTAAACAGCAGCATGGTAGAATGCATTACCCAGGACATCAGTGGGAGGAAGTCCCAATGGGTGGGCCACTCTGAGTGACCTCAGGCCCAATCAGACCCTAGCTTGGGCCTTCCTACCTGCACGGCCAGGAGAAATGGAAGCATTCTGGGCCACTGTCCTTGGCCACATGGGCCATCCTGGACAGGGCAGGAGGTAGACAAACAGCAATCACAGCTCAGAGGCAACTCCAGAGCATGCTGGAGAGGAAGGCAGTGAGCTTGGTCATGCTCTGTTTGCAGATCTAACATGTTACTCAAGCTTCTCTGGCCTAGGGGAAGGATTCTGGAGGACTTTTCCACCAGGCAGGAAGGTGACATGTTAACACCCAAGTGCTGTGAGGGATGAGATTGGGTCCCTGTGGCCATGGCTTTGCTACTCATATCACACGAGAAGATGGGAGACGGAGACACACACACACACACACACACACACACACACACACACACACACACACACACACACACACACACACACACACACGTACACGTCACGTACCGGTATGGTGGCTCCCTGGCTGAGCCCAGCCACTGGCAATTCTTGAGGCAGAGTGGCTGATCTTGGCAAAGCCGTGGTGCTGGTCTCTGCCATCAGCTTGGTGGGTGTGGCTAGAAGAAAGCAAGGCATTACTTTCCTGACCCACAAGTCTTACTTGCTTTCTCAGCAAGAGGGGCACAGAGACTATGGCCTTCGTAACCCCAGAGGTCGGCGGAGACCTTGGGAAAAAGGGAACCCACCATGACTTGCCATGGCTCAGCGGAATTACAAAAGCCCGACCTGGAGCTGGAAGGAGACACCGCAAAAAATGCCCAGACTTTAGTTTACCACGTAGCCTAACCACTTGCCTTGCCCAGGGGTAGCCAAGCTAGCCATTCCACCGTTTCCTCATTGCATGGAGGGAAGACACCAGAGTGTGGGAAGAGGACGGAGAGGCAGGTCAGTGAGGAAGGACCCAAGGAGGGTATAGACTTTTTGGACAAACAAGGCCCTGCTTCCACTCAGGCCCAAGGATTTCAGGGCACTCTGTACCCTTAGGTCTTAGAGGTCCCTCTGCCACTCTCCCACCAACTAGCACTCACAGGTGGGCTCTGATATGGCTGTGTGCGAGGACTTGTGGGAGCTCCTGGAGGACGCTGACGGAGAAGGACTGGCGTTGAGGCCCGGGGTGCCCACGTCCAGTGCACTGAAGTGTGGGGGAGGTTCCAGGCTCGAGCCCTTGTCCTGAAACACACACGCACGTGCATGCGCACACACACAGCCCACATGTCAGTATCAAGATGAGTGAACAAATGACACGACCTTACTTTAAAATATGTGAAGACATGGGGACTGTTGACACAGATACCACAGCCATCTGGAGACACTCCCAAACACATTCTCAGAGCAGACATGTGTATGTGTATATGTATATGCACACACACATCTATCTATCTAAATAAATAATCTAAGCACCTCTGAGAGACTTACAATGTATAAATAGCATCTATTATACTTTCTTACCTTTTATCTTGATTTGTTTCAGACTTTCCCAAGTGACTTTGCTTTTGATTATTTTTTTCTCTTAAGATTGACAGCTTGTCACCAAGAATTTTGGTTCAGAAGAGGTTTACTGCCAGCACGAGGCTGTGCTCATGGCCAATGAGACAAACATCTCTGGTCTCTTCCAGGCACATCTCACACAGCCTCCTGACTTGAGCTCTCAAGCCTCAGTGACTTGGAGTGGAGCACGGGCAAAGGGCCTGTGGCCTCCTATCCTTTTACCTCTGGCTTGTAACTGATCTTGGCCTCAAACGTAGCATGATGAGAAGGAAACACAGTGGTCCATCTCTGAGGGACCGTGTTCCCATCCTCATTGGTTTAAGGATCATAAGTGCATGACAAGAGGGGTTGATCTTTTTTTTGGGGTGGGGGGAGTAAGCAGTACTGGTATCTGAACTAGGACCTTGGCTTGGCTGCCACTCTAGACTTGAGCCACACCTCTAGTCCTGCTTCTTATTAGTTATTTTGGAGATAGATTCTGGTAAACCTTTCTGCCTGGGCTGGCCTCAAACTGCAGTCCTCCAGATCTCAGCCTCCTGAGTAGCTAGGATTATGGGAGTGAGCCATCAGCACCTAGCTATCACCATTTTTAAACCAAAGAAGAAAACATAGTGATTACTTTCCCGGGTTGTGTCAACGGACCAGTCTCTATCCACAATCCTGGGTAGGAAATCTCATGTGTGAGTCCATAGGCTTTCTCTGTCTTTTGGGTTGTGGCTTTAAGGAGGCTAGACACTGTGTGTGTGTGTGTGTGTGTGTGTGTGTGTGTGTGTGTGTGTGTGTGTGTGCCTGCACGTGTGCGAGAACAGTTGATGTGGCTGACACATGATCCATAGGCCTTCCTGTGCAACAGATGACAGAAGGCTCCTGGATGTGCTGTGGAGAGGCCAGCTGTGGGACTCCATCTCCCGGGAAGGTCCCCTCTGAGGTCCCTGGGCCATGGCCGTCTGTGACCTGTGTGTTCTTGATCAGCAGAGAAATAAGCCCAGAAAGTGAGGGCAAACACTCCAGAGCTTGCAGCACTCTGATGTCACTGCCAATCACACCCCACACAGGGATGTCTTTACCTGGTGCTCAATTGTATTTGTGTGCGGATACATGTGTGTATTTTATGTTCTTAACTTCCCCCAAGTGACTAGAAAGCGCCATGATGAACTTCTGAATAGCTGGTGCTCATACATCACACCTGTTGTGAGGTATGATACAGCTAACACCTGCCTGTGAAGAGCCTGATTGCTGTCTCTGGCATGACGCATGATGTACAATGTGACAAAGCTTGGTAATAAACTCTTCCATAAACAGCAGCAGTGATGGTATCAGTGGGGATCACTATTGGATGCACTACCTTGCTCTTTATTTTTGTGCCAGTACTGGGGCTTAAACTTCTTCTTTAGCATTTTTGCTCCAGACAGGTGCTCTACCACCTGAGCATAGCTCCACGTCTGGCTTTTTGGAAGTTAATTGAGATAAGAATCTCATTTTTTGCAAGTCCTGGGGCTTGAACTCAGAGCCTGGGCACTGTCCCTGAGCTACTTTTGCTCAAGGCTAGCACTCTACCACTTGAGCCATAGTGCCATTTTTGGCTTTTTCTGCTTATGTGGTACTGAGGAATCAAACCTAGTGCTTCATGCATGCTAGGCAAGCACTCTACTACTAAGCCTCATTCCCAGCCCTTGGGCTGGCTTTGAATCATGATCCTCAGAGCTCTGTTTCCCAAGTAGCTAAGATAAAGATATGAGCCACCACTGCTTTATGCTCTTTAAAAGTGGCTTCTTCCTCCCAATTTGGTCCTCAAGAGATGTAAGATGCTTCCATTTGGGCACAGACAGCCCATGGCTAAAGACTTTGATTCTAGGTCCCTGGACATCCTAGAATTTGAACTTCATCATTTTCTAAGAGACACTTTCCCTCCCACATTTTAACATATGTGAAATGGTATTGGTGTTGGGTTCTTCAGTTGGGGGAAACAAATCCTTATTTTAGATTGCTTGACAACCTTTTCTCTTTCTTAATAGGAGAGAAAATAATAGTGTGTCTTCCAGCTGAAAGCTTCTTAGCTTTAGGAAAATACCACATGCCCTCTCATCCTCTCTCTCTCTCTCTCTCTGTCTCTCTGTCTCTCTGTCTGTCTCTCTGCCTCTGCCTCTGTCTCTTTTCTCTCTCTGTCTCGCTCTCTCTGTCTCTCTTCACCATTTCAATCTGCTTTAAGAATGGCCTTTGAGGAACAGGTCTACTTACTTAAAGCTCCCTGCAAAGAACTGGTACCATCATGGCTATAAGCCCAGACCCTGAGACCTTGAGACAGAAATGACATAGGGGCTGGGGTTGTGGCTCAGTGCTAGAACACAATGCTTTGCATGTCTGAGGCTCTGGGTTCCATTCCAAGTGCCACAAAACAACAACAACAACAGCAAAACCAAAACAAAACCAGAATAAGACTTCGAGTCAACACACAGCACATAGGCAAAGGGAAATATGGAGACCCCTGACTTATTCCCCTCCCCAGTGGGATGATGGGAAATCTCCCTAGCTGCTTTTATCTGCGAGAAAAATACAAGTGAGCCTAGTATAAGTCAGAAAGTTGCTAAACATTTCCTGAGTTTCAGATGTTTGCCTCCCTCCCTTTCCTCCCTTCTTTCCTGTCTCCATCCCTTCCTCCCTTTTTCTCTTTTTGTTGGTATGGTGTTTAAACTCAGTCTTGAGCTTGCTATGCAGGTACTCTCCCATTCGCAAAATTCCTCTAGACTGGCTTTTTACCAGTTAGCTGGAGATAGAGTGTCATAGTTTTCTGCCCAGGCTGGCCTTGAACCGTGATCCTCCAGATCTCAGCCTTCCTAGTAGCTGTAATTACAGGTATGAGCCACAGGCTTTCAGCTCAGAGGTTATTTGTAACCCAGCTCTGTGAATACAGGCCCTGAGGTACCTTTTGGTCTCTCTTTGCCTCATATTAAGAATGAAGGTAATACAAGCTGGGCACCGGTGGCTCACGCCTGTAATTCTAGCTACTCAGGAGGCTGAGATCTGAGGATTGCAGTTTAAAGCCAGTCCAGGTAGGAAAGTCTGTGAGACTCTTATCTACAATTAACCACCAGAAAACCAGAAGTGGCTCTGTGGCTCAAGGGGTAAAGCACTTGCCTTGAGCTGAAGAGGTCAGGGACAGTGTCCAGGCCCAGGGTTCAAGACCCATGCCCACTACCACCACTACCAAAAAAAGACTGAGGATACAGAATCTACATCACAGGACTGTTAGTGGGGAAATAACGAAATACTCCACACCTTTTTTTTTTTTTTTTTGGGTCCAGTCGTGGGGCCTGAACTCTGGGCCTGGGCGCTGTCCCTCAGCTCTTCAACTCAAGGCTAGTGCTCTACCACTTGAGCCACAGCGCCACTTCCGGCATTTTTTCTTTTTGCTTATGTGGTGCTGGGGAATCAAACCCAGGGCCTCAGGCATGCAAGGCAAGCGCTCTACCACTGAGCCACCTTCCCAGCCTACTACGCCTTTTACTTAGAACACTGCAGGAACAGAGTTGGCATCAATATACACGACTTCTTATTTTCAGTTTTGTTATAACTCACAGAAGGCTCCACCCAGTGGATCTCTGCTTTCACCCAAGGGCTGGGTGGAACTTACCTTCAGTGTCGAGGGGTGCATGGTCTCAGATGGCGGGTCTTCTAAAGCCAGCTCCTGCCTCCTTTCCACCCGGACATCTGCGTAACTGCTCAAGGAAGCAAGAGATGACAATGGAGGTGGCCCACGCCAGGATGACAATGCCCAACAGCCACCTGGGGACTGTGGACACCATACCCCGTTCCCAGATGACGCAGTCCAAAGGGCCATGTCTGTTCCCCATGTGAAAGGCCACTGATGTCCACTGCAGTGATTCTAAAATTATGCACAAATACTTCCATTTCTAGGATATTCTTTTTTTCTGGTCATAGGGCCTGAACTCTGGGTCTGGGCACTATCCCTCAGGCTCTTCAGCTCAAGGCTAGCGCCCTACCACTTGAGCCACAGCACCACTTGAGCTTTTTTCTGCTTATGTGGGGCTGAGGAATTGAACCCAGGGCCTCATGCATGCAAGGCAAGCACTCTACCAACTTCCCAGCTCCTCTAGGATATTATTACCTTCTCCTGTGCTATCTTCCCTATCCCAACCCACTCTCTGAAATCTTCAAACATAATAATCATTTGGTGTGTGTGACTGATACTCTACCACTTGAGCCATACCTCTAGCCCACTTTTTTGCTACTTAACTAGAGGTAGAATCTTACAGACTTTTCTGCCCCGACAGGCTTCAGATTGTGATCCTCAGATCTCAGATTCCTGAGTAGCTAGGATTACTCATGTGAGTCATTGGTGTCAGGCTCCAGTGTACTTGAAAATTCAGGAGTGGGAACCTTTTTTCTGGCAAGAGGTATGTGTATAAAAACATCATTATTGGCTATGTAAAATTACAAATGCAGCTAGACACTGCAGGCAGACACATGAGAGAAGTACACTTATCTATTCTGTCATGTAGCAAATTGACTTTGAGGGTTTTATATGCTCCACAGCCTGATGTTTCCCATCTGTGCAAAATCATCTGTAGGTGACTTATACCTAACGCAGTATAATGCTATGTACATTGCTACTCTATATTGTTTAGAAACAGGAAGAAGAAAAACATCTGTATATGTTCAGTACAGAGGTCATTTTTTTTCTTTGCCAATACTGGGGTTTGAACTTAGGGCTAGGGTACTGCCCATCGGTTATTTTGCTCAAGACTGGCACTCTACCACTTGAGCCATAGCTCTACTTCAGTCTTTTTGCTGGTTAGAGATAAGAGTCTCATAGACTTTTCTGTCTGGGCTGGCTTCAAACTTCAGTCCTGAGAACTCAGCCTCCTCAGGAGCTAGGATTTTAGGAGTTAGCCACCAGCTCCTAGTCCCTCCTACCCAAGAGATAAATAAATTTTTTTTTCCACTCCATGGTTGGTTGACTCCAAAGACATAAAACGTAGTAGATATAGAGGACTGATTTTATGACATGTACTCCTCCTGGCCTTTGTTTTTCTCAAAGGCTCTTTTTCTAAACTGATTTCAAACTGATGGATGGTCTGAACATTTCTGCAGTGGCTGGGGGAAGGGAGGAGCGCCACTGTTCATTCCCCTTCCTCTCTACGTGTAGGGACCCCACCCAGGAGGTGTCTATGTCATGCCTTCTTTCAGTCCTGATAGTCCGTGCTGGGCTCCCTGAGGTCATCGGGAACCCCTGTTCCCCGGGGACCCCCTCCCATACATAGCAGCCCAGTGGTGCCTCCAACACAGCCTCAGTTGTCAGCACGGGTTTTTGAAGCATTAAAAATAAAAGGAATACGTGTTTGAGTTCTTTAGAGGCAATGTTTTAATTTTCTTCTCAAAACAGCGACAAGGGAAAGCTGGGGGGATGGATAAAGACAAGGGAAAATATGTAAGTAGGTCATTCAAGCAGGAACTCACCAAGTAAGATCCTGGCAGCTTAAAAGAGTTCATGAGCCACTGAAAGGGACCTGGCTGAAGACTCAAAAGAAGTCTTAGCCTGGGGAGGAGAGAGCTGGGTGGGCACCCGAAGAGACTGAGCTCTGGGAACTGTCCTGCTATCTGCCAACGACAGCCCTGTTTGATCCTTAGATACAGGGAGTACCAGAGGCAGCTGCTGACCAGCCCCCGTCACCAGGACCCGGCCCAGCCTCCCTACCCACACAGTACCTGACCACCGAGTGTGTGCACACGATGAACTCGGGCTTGGAGTTCCACTGGTGGTAGGTGATGTAGTAGTGGGTCTGTAGCCAAATCCACTGCTGGCCTTTTGTCAGGAACCGATAGCAACACGATTTCCCTTTGCCAAACTGCATCACTGGGGTAGAAAATGGATTCTGCATGTAATATACACCAATGCTGGGCAATCTTCCATCCCAAGACTTACTACCAAATCTCTCCCATCTTCCCTCCCTCCTTCCCTTCCCCTTTCTGTCTTTCTCCCTCTTTCCCTTCCTTCCTTTTTCCCATTCACTTCCTTCCCTTCTCCCCCTTCCTTCTTCCCTCCCTCCGCCATCCCTCCCCTCCCTTACTTCCTCTGTATTGCTGGGGATTCAACTCAAGGCTGTGTGCTAGGCAAATGCTCTACAGCCAAAGTCTAAAAAATTCTAAACAGAATGATCCATGTACTTTCCCAAATGCTCAAAAGCTGCAAGAGATCTTTGAATTAAGGGCAGATCTAGACAAATCTTCAAACTGCAGGGCTTAATTAAAAAAAAAAGAGGCTCTGGCTTTCCTGGGGTTCATCTTTTCCCTGCAGGTAAGTTGTCTTTGGAGCTGCCAGAGCTAAGCAGAGGAGGGAGCATCCTGACACTGGGAGAATTGGATCCAAAATAGACCTGACAGCCAGCAACTGCTGGACAGATTCTCTGGCTGCCAGTCAGAAGTTGAGACAGTTTGTACAGTTGGAGAACTGATATGGATGCCTCTCTCCCTAGCCTCCTCCTTTAGCTTCAGACCTGCCTGGAGTCCCTATGGTATGTCTGCCATTGACTGCTCTGGGGTGCCCAGGAAGAATGTTAATGGTTAATTAGTCTGTTCAAGGGCAGAATGGACTATGGATCTGAGGAAAAGTACAACTTCAGTTTTATTGCTAGAGAGGCTGAAATGTAGCATCCTGGTGAAAATTAAAAGAAATCCGTGTGTGTGTGTGTGTGTGTGTGTGTGTGTGCGCGCACGCGCACGCGTGCACACACACACACATGCACGCACACACACCGGTATAGGGGCTTGAACTCAGGGCCTGACCATTGTCTCTTAGCTTTATTTGCTCAAGGCTGGCACTCTAGTACATGAGCCACAGCCCTACTTCTGACTCCTTTCTGGCTAATTAGAGATAAGGGATCTGTTTGCTCTAGCCTCTTGAATAGTCTGAGATTACAGGTGTGAGCCACTGATGCCTGGCAACAAAGAGAAATCTTACTGAGGACACTAAGCTACCACAGGGGCCAGTGACTTAGGAGAAGGCTGGGTGTGGATGTGGTCTTCACAGAGCAAGAGCATCTAGCCCAAGCCACAGCCTTGCAGATGCCAAACATCATTCTTTGGCCTGAGTGGCTTTTCTCTGCTAAAGGAATCAGACTCAGTCAAGGATTTAAAACAGTTGTGCTACTCAAATTTGAATGGATGTATAAATCACATGGGACTCTTGTGAAAATGGATATTCTGAGTCTTATGCTGAGTGGAAAGAAGCTGGGATTCTACAAGTCTAGCAAACCCACTGTGGTCACACCCACACTTTGAGGGAGCATTAGTTGGTTAAAGGTTTAAAGATGAAACTTAAATTCCAACAGCTGATCCAGCTGGAGCTCAAGCCTGTTGTTCCTTCCACAAGGATAACACAGATGAGAAAATGTGAATGGGTTTTACAGACAAAATATCCATTAAAATACATGAGTGGTCTATTGATGTATCATGACACACAAGCCAATGCTACTAAGAAGAAGCACTGAAAATATGCTTGTGAATGGTTAATTCTCAACCTCAGTGAGAAGGGACATGCTGGTCATTCTCACCCTTCACACCCTGAATCCTAATCACAGTCGTCTTCTGTGGCAGAAAGCATTCGCTGATCATTCTCACCCTTCACACCCTGAATCCTAATCACAGTCGTCTTCTGTGGCAGAAAGCACTCGCTGACTTCCCCACCAGCTGTCTAAGGGGGTCTTCCTGCTCCTCCAGTAGCCTGTGCACCGATAAATACCTTGCCAAGTCAGCTGTCTCTGGCTTTCCTACCATGCCTTGCTCTGCAAAAGGCAAGGCAGGAAGGCTCATGGACACTGCCATCTCCTGATGCTCACACAGAACTTTTCCTTAAAAAATCTCAGGCTATCAAGGCCACTGACTGGGAGAATGCAGGATCTGAAGAGGAGCAGCCCAGTATGTGGCCAAGAGCTGGTGACCAATACCTGTGCATTTGGTTTTTTGTTATGTGCATTTGGTTTTTTGTCTTTGAAATGCATAAAGGAAATTCTGACAGTCCCTTAATTTCTTGATGAGGATTAAATCACATAGTTGTCCGAATGATACTGACACAGTGCTGGGGATTGGTGTAAAGTTAATTCTGAGTTAGAGCAGAACACAGGGGAGTTGAAGCAGACAAGGACCTCCAATATATCCCAATCATTGCAGAGAAAACTCAGGTAACAGAAAGTCTTCCAGCAGCAAAATGCCCTTTGTCTGGGCCCTTGTGGACAAAGCAGAAGGCCTGGGCTGGGAAAGTGGTACTCACAATGCTGGTGGCATCTGGCCAGGAGTTCCAGGTCATCAATGTGGTAGTAGTCATAGCCAGAGGTTCCCAGCACTTCAAAGGGCAGGTATCCTATGATGGGCGGGGCTCTGCAGGAGGACAAGGGGATTCTTCATCAGACAAAACCCTGTCGGATACACACGCTGGTCACGCTAGTCAAGATGAAGTATGCAAACTGCAGTTTGTATGCTTAGTGGTCCAAATGGAGGCTTCATTTCTCAAGAGCCTGAGGTGAGGATGTGGGATAAAAACTTTCCAATGGTCCGGACTGGAGAGCTTTTAGTTTTTTTCCGAAGGGCTTACTTATTTTATTCATTTTATTAATTAATTATTATTTGTGCTTGGATCTGAGGCCTCATGCTCTTTCTTAGCTTTTTCTGCTCATGGCTGGTGCTCTACCACTTGAGCCACACCTTTACTTCTGGCTTTTGCTGGTTAATTACAGATAAGAATCGCAGACTTTTTCTGCCGAGGATGGTTTCAAATCATAATCCTCAGATCTCAGCTTCCTGAATAGCTAGGATTCCAGGCTTAAGCCACCAGCACTGAGCACAAGTTCATTATTTGGGCATTTAAATATTCTATTCTCTTGGCAGAGCCCAGCCCAAATGATAATAAAATGTATTGAACAATTAGAAACAGCTATAGATTGAGTTAGCTCAATAGCTAAGTATAATGAAGAATTAAAGGGTGGAGAAGGGAGATGGTTAATTCTTAAGTAATACTACCAAGGAAAGACAAAGGGCTGGACTAAGGGATCCATGGCATGGTGAAAGAAACCTCAGGAGAGATTCCTTCTACACTGGCTTCTGCCATTGTAGGACATGGTAAGGGCCAGAGTGTGGATCATCTCAAAGATGTCCTGGGGCTGAGCATCAACTGAACAGAGAACCAACACAGCTCTAGGACAGGTGGACAGGTGCATGGAAGGCCACCCACTGCCCCCTTGGCCAGGAACAGGCAAGTTTGCCCTTCCCTTCCAGGGGACCAGGCTGGACCTTTCTCTCCCACACATAGCCTGGCTCTTGCAAACAACACTTGAAAAGGACCCAACCCAAATATGTTTTTCTTTTTACAGACCTGTGATCCAGAAATAAAAATTTCCATTCCAAGCTATGCCTTGAAGTGAATTCTTCTAAAGGTTCATCAACTATACACATTTCCTGCATTGGAAGAGGGGAAAAAATTATCATGTCACTTGGTGGGGCCAGATGCTCTCCCCTAGGTTTGTTCAAAAGGAATGCATGGTGGGTAACAGAAGTTAAAATCGTTCTGAGCCTGTCTCCAAGTTGTGTTGGACTGAAACTCGTCATCTGTAGCTAATTTCGGTATTAGCTGATACTAAATTTATTTCCCAAGCTGGGGAAAAATACCCAGGAGCCAAAATGTCACACCACTCCCTTCCCATTATCTGAAAATGTGGTAAACATGTGCAAAATGGCTCTTCATCTGAATTTGAATGACTAATTTAAGTCCTCATTTGTGCCAGGGATGGGAAGGCAATACAGAAGGAGTCAATCGTTTGACTTTCTGACTCTCAGCTCTGGCCCACGCCTGCTCTGAGCAGTGTTCACATTAATGCAAAGGGTAGGAAGATAGAATGATCAAGCAGTATCTGTGTCCCCACCCTCCGCCATGCCCCCTGAAAATAAAGTTATATAGGAAACTAGAGTCTCAGATGGGGCCTGTAACCCAGACATTTGAGATTTTTTTTCAAAGCTAGTGACAACTTCATAGCAATTTCATTCTCTCCCATAAAGCAATGCGACTCTAGCTCCAACAGCTCCATATGATGACTTGCCTTTAAGAACTGTGGTGTAGCCAGACGCACGGTAGCAATGAAGCAGATCTCCTTCCCGAGGGGCACGCGGCAGGGTCTTGAGAGGGTATTGTCAAAGCCATTACAAGAGGGGCTAGGCACTGGATAGGGGAGACACATGGGTTAGCCTTGTCTGATGACAGCTGCTGTCCAATACCTGGGTGACACAAACTGCATTGAGAGATTTATGCATACCAACACGTTCACTCTTCAACGTGAAGCAGTCTTACTGTCTCATTACACCACTGAGGAACCAGACACCTGTACAAGATCAATCCAAGCTGGGACCATTCTACTGCACTGCCCCTCATTCCTACCAGCCCTACAGCCCTTTGCTTCTTGCCTTGGGAGAACTGTTCTGCAACCGAAGACCCTTATCTCATAGGAAGGGACTGAATATTCCTACAGCCGCTGTCTCCAGGGTCAAGCCCATAATCAGATGGTGCTCCTGACACGGATGGTCTAGTCCCAGGGAAAGTTGTGATAATGCCTTCCCCATTCAGTCTGGGCTAAGTACACATGGAGAATGAAGAGCTTTTGCCCTGAAACTAATCCTGGAGAACCTAGGCTGAGGCAGGGGCTAGGTTACTAAGGAGGTGGCCTTGGGATTTAGAGTGCTACCATCTGGATCTTCAATGTCTCTCAACAGCCCCCCCCCCCCCCTGTTAAAAACTTAAGTTTCCCAGCTTGGTGCTATTGGGAGCTGATGGAAACTTTAAGGGACTGGACCTAGAAGCAGGCTTTAGGCCACTGTTCTACCACCAAAGCTGTGGCGGAAACCATTGCCATATAACATGCTACCTCGTCACAGGCCCAAAAGCAGTGGACTTCTGAAACTGTGAGGCAAAATAAACGTTTTGCTTTTTAAAAATTCACCATCGTGAGCATTTTATTATAGTAATAGAAACCTGGTAAACAACACCTGGGATCATACCAATACAATAACAAAATAGTACCACAGCAAAACTGGCTAGTTTTGTAGTGTTGCACAGGAGACAATATCTGTCTGCTTATTTATTCTCACAAGCCTAGGAAGGCATTATGGTTTTACTTTAGAGATGAGGAAAATAAAGCCTAGAATGGTTTTATGAATGAACTGTGGTCAGGTATTACAAGTGGAGTTAACAGAGCAGGGATGGCACCCAGGTCTGCAGACCCCAAGTCTCAGGCTCTACCAGGGAATGGAAGGTGTAGTTCTAGGTTCACCATGGTGCTAGGACTGGGACTCCAGCAGCCCCTGGGAGGTACCATGTGGCATCAGTGAAGTCTTGCTTCGGAGGTTCCTGACCCACTTTTAGGGACTATGAAGAACTCATTGACCTTTGGGGCCAGGAAAATTCTACTATCTTGAAGTGGAGAAAAGTACCTTGTCAAATCTGAGCAAGTCCACTGAGCACTTAAATGGAATTCTCAAGGTCAACTATCCACCTGGCTCTCTGGGACCCAGGCTTCCACCCAGACAAGCCTAATTCCATAGCTGAGTGGGCTTTACCCATGCACATCCAGGTTTAGGATCCCTGGAGCTGAGAACTGACTCTGCTTTTAAAGTGTAGGGACTATAAAATTGTTTCTCCATATCCAAAGGTCCTGAATTTGTTAACGGTGGGTCCAAAATATTTGAAAAAAGATTTTATCTGTATACAACATGTACAGACATTTTCTTGTTAGTATTCCCTAAGCACAGGAGTATAACAAAATATTTACATTGTGTGAAGTATTATCAGTAATATAGAGATGGCATAAGGCATACCAAAGGCTGTGAGCAGGTGATATGTAAACACTATGCCATTTAAGGAAGCTGAGCATCTCTGGATTTTGCTATCTTTCAGAGATCTTGGGACCAGTCCCTTATGGACACTAAGGGATAACTATATAACATGTATGTTCTGAACATGCAGATTTAAGTATTATTCTTTTCCATTTTAAGAATCGATAGAGAATCAGAAAATGGAATGCATTTTAAAATAAAACATATGCAATTATATTTTAGCTTTTTAATTTTTTGTTTTACATATTTATAGGTCTCTAAATGATTGTCTTATATGGTGTTCTCCCACTACATGAATAAATTCATTTTTACCAAACATGTCTTCTAAATTCACTCACATAAATACCAATAAATGTTTCCAGACAGGAATATAAAGTGGGTAAAATAAAAAATAGTGGTCTCTAGAGTGTTTGCATCTGTCATGAGTTGGCTTAGATTACTGCAGATTATTTTTCGGGATGAGCCAAGAAATTTAACAAGGGAAAGGAAAACAATTCCACATAAGGGAAGGGTCTGCAGATGTGAACATCTGTGTAATAATAAAAAAGACATTTAAAACCTTCCCAGATGTGAAATACTCCCTGCTTGACTCAAAGAGACATTACCCAGCCAGATAATGACCTAATAAATTCTCCTGGCTCTTTTGAAATACCAAGACCTTCCAAGCAAACTTCCGAACACTCCCCAGGAATTTAACAGAAAGTCTCCTTTTTCTATCTCTACATGATATACCTGTTGGAGGAGTTCCTTTGGGCTGTGAAATTCTTAGATAGTCAAGAAAGCCTTTCTCCTGACGTACAATGAAGAGGAATAGGGGAACAGGTAAAGTGGGAAGACATCTTCCTTCTTCGGGGGCAGCAGAGACTCAAACCAGTAAGTGAGGGATTTGTAGAGGTTATCCTTGGCTAGGTTACCACCCAGACCAAGAGATATTTCATCTTCAAAGGCTTTAAGATGCAATTGCATGCCCCAAAGAGCCGTTTCCTTATCCTTGTAGCCTGTGGTCAGTCAGCTAGATATTTTACAGATGGACCCAAAACTGAGCAACTTCCTTCCAAACAAGCTTGTCATACCCAAGAAACATTAACATCTGCAGGCTCCAACAGGGGTGATGCACAGTAAATCAAGGATGGATGTTTTGATAGAGGCCAAGGGGAAAACCTAAGGGTGGGGTGGAGAACAAGCAAAGGAAGTGCTTTTAAAGATTTTTTTTCTCCGTTGTGTTTGATATGGCGTTTTACTCTCAGCCAGAGACTCTGTGGATTTCAGTGTTAATTCATGACAGGATTCCCTAAGCCCTCCCAGTCATACTTAGCACATAGAATAACTCGCTGGCACTTCACATCCCAAGGTAGTTTAAAGCCATTAATTAAGAATTCAATTACTTGTTTCAATTTAAGTAATAGAAAAAAAACCCATCTAATTACAACTGGCTTCCTTACCTCTCAGAAGGATTTGCCACTAAGTGTAGGAACAGTCCTGCTTGCTCAGCTCTCTGACCAATAATGATACAGACAGAGATACAGACCATAACATGATACATGATAGACTCATAGAATATATATATATATATATAGTATATATATGTACATATATATGTACATATGTATATATATACATATATATATGTGTGTGCATATATATATATATATATGTATATATATATATATTCTAGCCAAAAGCTAAATAAATCATCATCTCCATGGTGGGAACTGGGACTTGTTCTTCCTCTCTTGAGAAGACTCTCCATCTCACAGTCAAACCATAAGTTAAGGCTGAATCCATTAAGGAACCTTCTGATCCTTGCTGCTAACTAGCACTCAGACCTTGGGACCCCAGGGTGGCTTCTCCATAGAATGAGCTAGTGCTGCCTCTACACTCTGCCCCGAGGGACAGTGGCCTCAGAGTGTGGTTCTGGGACACCCTGGCATTCAAGCCTGCTCACTGGCTTACTGCTGCACAGGTACTTTTTAGAGAAAGCCTAGGTGAGACAGAGGCTGGAATCACACTTGGATCACCTCCCTGTGTGAGAAAACAACCCAAAGGCTGGCATGAGTTTCTACATGGAGCAAAAAATGCTGTTTTGGGGTCTTCACAGTAAAAAGGCCCACAGGTTCTCAAGTCCTGAGACCATTGTGACCATCCCTACTTTCAGACACCTTGAAAGAGATTTGCCTTAGGCTGGAGTTCGTAGGATTCCAAAAATGAAGAGTCCCACTTCTCTAGAGACCCAGAATGACTAATGTCTACTTCATTTGGATGTACCCAAGTTTGGCTCTAAGTCTGCCCAGACAAAGGTGATCCCCAAATCAGTCAGGATGAGGATACAGAATTACTATGGGGGAAAGATGAGCTCAGGCCTGTAATACTAGCAACTCAGGAGGCTGAGATTAATGAGGACCATACTTTGAAGGCAGTGGGGAAGGTCTTGTGAGATTCCTATCTCAACCAATAAACAGCTGGGTACAGTGATACACATCTGGCGTTTCAGTTATGGGGGAAGTATAAATAGGTAAATTCTAGCCCAGGCAAACAATTTGTACGAGACTATATTTAAAAACAAAGTAAAAAATGCTGAGCACTTGTGGCTCATACCTATAATCCTACACTCAGGAGGCTGAGGAGCTGAGGATCACAGTTGGAAGCCAGCCTGGGCAGCAAAGTCTGAGACTCTTATCTCCTATTAAGCACCAAAAATCCAGAAATGAAGCTGTGGCTCAAATGGTAGAGCACAACCCTTGAGTAAAAAGGCAAAGCAAGGGCTGAGACTCCAATTTCAAGTCCCAGTGCCAGGACAAGAAAAATTAGTGATTATTAGCAGCAAAGGAATAGAAAGGAATGGGGAAGGATGCACTGCCCTTGCTTGGCTCAGCACAGTCATCAGAGTCGTTAAGTATTCTCATCAAAGATGGCCTGCTTGTGCTAACTCGGTTGCCATGGCCAGAGGAAATATGCAAGTTCACAAGCCTGTGCTCTCAGCACTTAGGACACAGCAGGTAGGTGTCTGGGAAGATCGGAGGCAACCTATGATGAGCTGTACTTCAGGAAGTTTCTAAATCCCAACTGGGACAGACATTCCACACGTCCGGATTATGGTTTCCGGATTATGGAGAGGAAAAGAATTCTCTGCACATTCATGAGAAACCCTCTCCCACTCATCAAGTCCTAATTTCAAGGTTCATTTCCCTCTTCACAGCATGCCTTGTTCGATGTGCAGCTGGCAGGGCTCAGGCCAGCCTCACACTCACGCTTCCTCCTCTAGGTCTGGGCACTGCCCACCTTGCTTAGGCAAAGCTTTAGCTTGTCTCTCTTTTCTTCTAGATCTAGAGGAAA